TGCTAACAGCACTACTTCCAAGAGTGTTAATGCTATCAGTAATATTGCTACCAGCACTTTTGCCAAGAGCACAAATGCTATCAGCAGTATTGTCACCAGCACTAATAATATCAACACTATTGCCATGAGCATTAATGCTATCAGTTCTTTTGGTTTCAGCACTTTTGCCAAGAGAACTTATACTATCAGTATTATTGCTACCAGCACTTTTGCCAAGAACATTAATGCTATCAGGAATATTGCCAAGAGAATAAATGCCATCAGTTCCTTTTGCAACCAGCACTTTTGCCAAGAGCACGAATGCTATCAGCACTATTGCCACAAGTGCTAATGCAAATAGCACTTTTGCCAAGAGCAGAGCACAAATGCTAACAGCACTACTGCCGAGAGTATTAATGTTATCAGTACTATTGCTACCAGCAGTTTTACCAAGAGCAAAGATGCTATTAGAACTATTGCCACCAGCGCTAATGTTGTCAGCACTATTGTCAACAGCACTAATGATATCAGCACTATTGCCACCAGCACTCATGATATTACTAATGCTATCAGCACTTCTACCAAGAGCACCAATTTTGTCTGCATTATTTATTTATTATTTATTTATTATCAGAAATGTCCTCGCCTCTTGGACTTCAATGGTATGGAGTCTTCATGATTGCAAATCAAACTGGTAAGCGGAATAAACCTGAATATTGATAATGCCACCAGGAGAATTCATCACAATGTTTTTTCTGATACAAGTACCATGATGTATTGCCTCACATGGTTCAATCACCTCCCTGGGCTGATTTCATCTTTCCTTATCACCATTAGTCGCTGGTTTTTTTGATGAAGCTTTAAACTTTTCCCTCAAAGCTTTGGCATTAACGTCATGATGAAGAAAACGCCGATAGGCTTCCTGGAAATCGCTCACTCTCAAATGATGAAGAATCTGTTTTTGTGATAACATTTTTGTTATAGAAACACACCAGGGAAATGATGTGTTTCAAGTTTAAATTGTGTAATCATCAAATTTAATTTTTCCCTTTCCGATTATGTGTAAATATGAGTTGTATGAGGGAAGGTTCTGCTCTAGTCTAACTACAAGCCTTTGTGCCTCCCCCTCCCCCTACACACATCCCCTGAAGTTTTTATACTTGTAGTGAACTAGTGGGGATCACAGAGCCTTGTAGCTAGACTAGTTCCACTTTTAATACTGTTCTACCTCATTAGGCAATACTACGCCCTGCCTATTATCTCTAAGCTCTACATCGTGTAAATCACATTACCTAATATTTGGAAAGATCATTAATCAAATTAATTGGCTTTAGGTACAGTATGATTTGACAGCAATATGCTATTTTCATTTTATATGTTATTACGGAGAATCATGACACATTATCTTTTGACAATATTGCACGACCATTTTTCAAAATTGAAATGTAATGAAATGTATCCAAATCCCCTGAAACTAGATACATTTTTGAAGCCCCCTTAGGTCCAGCTTAATGATACAAATTAATTTAGATACTCTAATCAATATGTGTTTTTTGAAGTAATGTATTTTAAAACTTTTCATTTTAAAGATCTGAAAAAGCTTTCAAGGTGAATGTCAACTTCCATTTTATTTCACGGTTATTCCTGTTTTAGCAGTCCTAAAAGAAATTATTGAAACTGTATGAAGTTTTCGCAGTTTAAAATCTGCGAAGGAATTGATTGACGTCTTTGTAACTTGTAAGATAATCAATAGGTTATTAATGATCATTATCTCTGTTGAGGAGGAAATGAAATGCTCGGATAAAAATATTTATTTTCTAATTGGTATACGTTTCCGCGTCGTTTGACTCCAAGTCTCAGATTCATCTATGTTAAAGGGACATTAAAGGATTGCTCAGACGAGCTGAAATTACCACATTTTTTTGCTGACAGCATTCAGGCATTGTTGTGTTTTTCTAAACTGTTAAGAGTTCTGAATTTATTTGATGGAAATGCTTTGATTTGAACTCTGCATTTGGTTATCATTTTAAAAGTGAATGCAGATTACCCATTTCATTCGTTCGACTTCACTTCTTAAAAGAGAGCTTCGTCTTCGTTTATAACTAGACTCTGCGCGTAGGGTAAATGCAGATAAAATGTTGTGGACTTAAATCACTCACAAATCATTGAGGCATCGGTTTAAATCCTTGGGCTAAACTTGATTAGATCGATACCTCAAATAAGATATCTCGTCATATATTATATTTTAAGGATAAACAGCGGTATTATTTGTTCACGTTGCGATCCCTATCCCTAACTGCCACTTTAAAAAAAGAAATACTATAGCAAATATAGTATTTGTCCTAAATCTCATGGATTTCTGTATCAAGACATTAGTATCACAATATACTTGGCTGTAGTCTAATTGCTAGCTACAAGGCCATGCACAACAAGACGTAAGTAGATGGGTGTCACCCCGGGGGTGTCACAGAGGCTTTAAAGTGAGATATTCCCATCTGCCAGTCTGCCCAGGAAGCCTATCAGCGTTTTCTTCCTTCTGACGGCAAGGACAAAGCTTAATGACTTTGGCGTCTAAGAAAAATATGGAAAGAAGGGGGAGACACCGTTGCAAGATGACACAAACTTTTAATTGGTACTTTTTGTATTGTATTTATTTGAGGGTTTCCAATATTTAGATTGGACAATTTATGAGCTTGTTCTTCCCTGACAATCAGTGTTCCATTGTTTTTAATATACAATTGGGAGTAGTAAAGTGTACCAACTTTATTTGTATTATATTATTGCCATGGTGCTTTGTTCACATCTGGTTTGGGTCTTCAAGTGCATATGAGATGGCCATTATTTACTATTTATATTAGCCCTCTGAAAGAATTTAATATTTACCAGTACATAGTACTCATTATGGACGCTTCCATTCAATTGAATTTCTGATTGTATATAGGGTATAATAAGTAATTGGCACTTATTTGTATCTATTTTATTATCGTAATCTTGTGGCTTGCTCTATTGATTTGATTTTCATATGTTGATTATTGATAATATTTGAGGTATTAATGATTAAATACACATTAAAACACATGCATAGATATAGAGGTATATCATTTCCCATAAGAAAATTAGAGATCTATATTCATTTATACTCAATATACAAGAACACAAATGTGTACAACATGTCCCCACCAGGACTGGCCAAAAACTAAGTAGTTTGAGATTGTCATATAAAGAATCATTCCTGGAAATTTGAAATTGATCTCTCAACTGGTTTGCCAGGAAATGTGAAGACATGACTTTACAAAGAAGATTTTAGGACGGAAAATCCAAAATGGCCACCCTAAAATTTATCCAGAATGCGGAAAAACTAATCAGGTCCAAGGTTTTCATACTAAGAATCATCCCTGAAAATTTAAAGTTGATCCCTCAAACGGTTAACCTGAAAACGCAAAGACAAGACTTTACCGACAATATTTTAGGACGGAAAATCCAAAATGGCTGCCTTAACATTTACCCAGAATGCCGAAAACGAATCGGTTCTAGATTTTCATATTATAAATCATCCGCCAAACTGTTATCCTGAAAATGGGGATCCTGCAAATGGGTAGATCTACCAAACAGTTCACCCGAAAACACGTAGACAAGACTTTACAGACACGATTTTAGGATGGAAAATCCAAAATGGCCGACAATAAAAAGTTGTTATGAGTTTTTGCTTATGAGTTTTTTCTTTTTACAAAGTTATAGCATATAACAATTGTTATTACAGCAGAAATTATCTATAAAATAGTTAAAGTATGAAAACTCAAAACACCATTCTAATATGATACAAGTAGTAACGCTCGCTAACTTTTCTCAAGACATTCAAAATGGCTGCCATGACTGAGCTAACAGGTCCAAAACCTAATCAGATGTAGAGTGAAGTGAGTGAAAATGTAACTGTGAAGCCATTTTCCTCAAAGTTTGCAGACAAGGATTTTAGCATTTAGCTTCAAAATGGCCTATAGGAAGTAGGTATTGAGTCAAAAAGTTCTACCGCATCTGTATCTAGTCAAAAGTTAACCCTAAGAATTTGAAAGTGATATCACAAGCGGTTTGGGAGAAAACTGTCGGAGATACAGACGCGACTCGACCGACAATATGGCCCCACACTATGTGGTGGGGACATAAAAAAGTAATTATATCGGTTTTTCATTCCTAGGGGCCTCTTGTTTAGCAATTATCATTAAGGGATTTACTGTAATCAAGATACTATATAGTCTTTCATACACCCTTGAGGAATGAAAGGGAAAGTGATAAACTGTTATGATTGATGACATTGAACTTGATTCCATTATGGGATTAAATATTAATACGTTGTATGTATCAATAGATTCTGCTTCGAAGAAATGAGTCGGTCAATCAACTGGTTAATCAAACAAACAGCTCTCAAACACACATACATTGAAGATGAATTAAACCACGTATATATGATGTCTTGTCTTGTGAATGAGGGTAGCAGCCCGAATTCAAAGTCTAAGATACAATACACACGTGGATTAAACTTAACTTCACCAGATAGTTTTCGAAAATAACACTTCGTTGTGATGTTTTAATCGATGTAAGCATATTCATTACACCTTTCTTTATCTTAATACAAATTTGCACGATAGACACATGTCTTCTTTGAGCCCTTGGGTAATCCCCCTGTTTGAGAATGCTGTTAAATGCAGTTATATTCATTTTGTGCAACATAGCTAATAAAAACAATCTATGAATCAATCAATAACAGTTATTTATAAATCCAGGGCTAAACTTGGAGTATAACTCCTAACACTTGCGAATGCAACTAACGGCTGTCGGCTACCGGATTAACCTACTACCTTGTGGGTAACTTATCTAAACATGAATAATACCTGCCACTTTTCTATTCATATTTAAATTAGTTGGTCATCAATTAGTAAGTTAATCCGGTGTAGCCGACAGCCGAAAGTTGCATTAGAATTGTCAGATTATGTTTGCAAAAACTCCTTGTTAAAGAACCATCTTACCAGAGCGTCTCTTGACTTCGGATTGTAGTCGTAGGAAAGTTCATATGATTCTGGGTCCGATCCTGATTCACTCATGGGAAGTACACCTCTATATGGTAGCGAGATCGGGCCGTCGGGGAGAGTATTTCTGTTCAATTCAACATGTTGAAATGGGAGATTTTCTTCTGATGTTTGGGGCATTAGTTTTTGTAGTAATCTCCCATAGAAATCATCATTTAATGTGTTTACTTTATAGTCTATTGCATTGTCTTGTGATCGTTTACCATTACCTGGAACATATACATATGGATTCATTAAGATATACATGTACATTTCATCAACATGATGGGTGTCATCCATTAACAACATATTTCATTCAAATCAACAAGTTTTTATAGAGTCCAAATGTAAATCCCTGAACTTTATTTCAAAGTCTAACCACATGAATAATTTATGTGCTGTAGGATTATTCATTTGAGACTGCATATTTTGATGGTGCACTCAATTTCAAATCAAGTCTATGCCCCCTCACCAGGCCCGTAGCCAGGGGGCTCGATGGGTTCGAGCGAATCCCCAAGATTGTCAAAAGTGAACCCCCCCTGGAAATTTTCAAAAACTGAACCCCCCCCCCCTCTTTGGCAAATCCTGGCTACGGGCCAGCTCACTATCACAGGGTGTCCTAAAAATTGAACAGTTCTGCATTGATCACAATGGAGGTCCTTTAGAGCATTCCATCGAAAATGTTTAATTCCTCCATTGTCATGAGAGAATTGGAGGGGGTTGCTGTTTGTAAATGTACCCTTTTCATTGGTTTGAATTCGATTCTCTGGAGGAAAGCTTCATTCTGTGCTTTTTAGTGAGAGACAATCCTTTCATTAATATTTTATCCAGATAGTATAGATTGGTTCAAATTCATCAGAATCGAAGTCACATTAGTTAAGGCGGATGGCAAATAGGCAGGTTAGTGATTGTGTACACTGTAAGTGTACGTGTAGTAAGTGTACGTTTGGAATTTTTATGGAATCCCCATTAGAGAAATGAGAAATTATCTACTTATTTCGGCACCCTTATTTTGTAGTTTTAAGAAGTAGGTCACTGTATTTTCTCATTCTTAAACATTTCTCAAAATCACATGTGACTCCAATGAGGATTGCAAATAACGTCTTCTGATAACTCATCTTCATTCGCTCGACTACCATCGGTCTTAAACGCAGAGAAGACAATGTGACGCGGCAAACACGATACAAAAATATGTCATATTCCGCAACGAATATGGCATATTCACTTGCGGTGTATGACAGATTCACCTGCGGTATATGGCATACACACTAACCAATGAGAACGTGATACGGAAGAACGCAATTGTCAATTGCATCGATTAAACGAACAAGTAAAACGTTATGAATTATTATAATGATTACTGAATCAACAGTCCTGTGTATCGAATATATCAACTTAGCAGAAGTATCAGTCACCAATCTCGTGTAATTAACTTACTCAATCAATCCAGGATTCATATATTAGTACTCGACGCACTAACTATATTGGTAATCCAGCGTAGTTTTGCATTTAGAGTCGATTCTCGCAACCAATCAAAATCAAGGCTTTCTGTATCACGTTTTCACTTGCGGTATATGTCATATTCACCTGCGGTATATGGCATATACTGCAAGTAAGTATGACATATTCCTCAGGTGAATATCGGGTATTCACTGAAATCAATGTATCGCATATTTACTGCGGAATATGCCATATACCGCAGGTGAGTATGGCATATTCACCCGTATCACAAATACCGCGCAACCATGAATGTATGCCATATACCGCGTAACAGACAAAGCGTTCGAAGATGCTGATAGCTGGCACATGGTATTCATGTTATATCCAAACTCCTTTGATTGCTAGTACTGTTCTCCAGAGGGTAGTACTACTAATTACTACAGTATACCTCAGGGTATTATTGATGCAATAATGGAGCTTGAATTGATAAGTTTTTTATTCTCATTAACTCCTTAGATTTATATTATGTATAATATATCAACTCTGGACAGTGTGCTGCTAATCCATCCATTATCCCATTAGTATAATGAATATAGTAAAATAAAACTTTGGACAGGGTATAAATAAAATAATGGCCTCGGAGGCTCATCAATAAACGGAATAACAACTAAGAATACTTAAGATAATGCAAGATGGTCAAAGAAAAACGCCTCTTTAGAATTTAGCTTGATTGTGATAACAACACCATCCTATGTTCATGCTTATCACATCTTTCATGCATGGCATTAATCATTGGAATTTGTTCTAAAACAGTGACACAGTAGGAGACTATTAGTATTCTTGCTTCCTACAGGGGGTTGACCAAGGGAGTGTTGTGGCTGTGGATTGTCTTTGAGGCGCGAGATAAATAATTAAAACCCTGTTTTCTTCTCTCAGAGCTGAGATGAATTTCTTTCTCATCATTTCCATAGTAATGATTCTCACTGGACACACATCATCGTGCCCCCGGGGATGTGCCCGTCCAGTTGCATAATACACATTAACTTTTTCGACACTAAAGCGTTGATTGACACGCTCGTGAACAATAGAGACTCCGAAGACAAACATTGGTCAAGAAATTCAGTCTTCAGAAACAGTGACAAAATAAGAGAGTATTGGGTAATAGATAAACCATGAGTCCTGGGTGTTAGGTGAAATAAAGGCCAAAGGCCAAAAGGCCCGAACCCATTATTATCCAATAAACGTCATGCTTTTGTGACATAGTTCTGAAAAAAATATTATCAAAGTAGCCTCGTTTAAAAAAATAGTGTTCAATCAAAATGGATAATATGTTTCGGCCCACCCTGTATTTATCCATCTATAAAGCAAGTCCTCTTTCTAATTGGGAGGATGTTCCAATTTTCCTGGCGTGTTGAAGGATATTAGTCGAAGGTCTTATACTAAGGTCTTATAAGTCCAATAACCAGTTATGTTATCCTAAGAAGGATTTATATTTTAATTGAATTTGGTATTTAACTATATCTGTATCAATAATTAGTAACAGCCCTTGCATGGAATGTTGCGTGATTATCATTCATGAATGTGTCTCAGCTTAATGTGCGTACTTGATACTTGTGGATTTGTCGTGTTTTCTCATGGTTGCCCATTGTGCACTCCCACCGTATATACATTTAGAATTTTCAAATAACGTTCATAAATAACGATATGATATCGAGGAAAACAATTATTTGAAAATGAACAGTTTGCAAAGGCTATAGGATGATCAAAAACATGGACATTATTTATTATTAATTGATATAAAGATAAAACAGTCTTAATTTCATCGGATCACCTGTTTATTTCCATGACAACTCATCAAAACATCATACATATTTATTCGTCATTAGAGATTAAAGAGGAATCTCTTGGGTAAATGACAACTACTTTGGTCAGACCATGTCACTAAACAAGAGTTAGTAGAAGGATTAGCGCTTTATTGAACTAGTGATTCAGCAATTAATCATTAATCAACCTAGTCTTTTATAAATAACACCACAAAGGGCATCATTAGAATACTAGAAAAATAAATGATTCAACATTGGTTGGTGGAATTTACTATTCCACTCGCTCCAACAGCCGATGACTCAAATACTATACTGATACGATTAGGACCAAAAGTCACTTTCACCTGACTGAAGTTGTGTCTGACTGACTACTAATGCGGAACCAACGGCATTTCCAATCTTGAAAGATCACAGTCTTATATCAGTTCTTTCTCGTGGGCGTAGCCAGTGGGTTATTTTGTTAATTTGTTGAAAATACATCAAATTATAGTTTGAACTTTGAAATGCTTAGAATACACCATATAGGCTAATATACATAACCATGTTGATTATAAAAAAATCCGGTGAACCTCGTCCCCTCTTTTTCGGGCTCGCTTCGCTCGCAATGATGCAAGGCCCAAAGAATCGCATCCCCTTGACAATTGCTTGTCTGAGAAAGGGTAGGACGGACCAACCCTATACTAGCTTTGACTTTAATTCGATCAACTCACCCCTCCCTCCAATCACTGTAAATTTCCATGTATGAGATAGGAAGTCTAGTGAAAGTATGTTTATGTCTATATTATTGTTGTTATGATAGAAAATATGTTTGCTTCGCACTTTCCATTGATTTTTTTCTCAAGATACAAGAGGGGGGCTCCTCTTCCATAACGATACTTAACGTGATAAACAATCCAACAATATCTTACCCCTGGGCGTTTCAAAATCAATGAAATAGATATATTTAGTTTTTTTTATTCAAACGTACAAACTAAGACGATCGTTTGTGAAGCTCCAAGTGTTCTTGGAAACCCAAGTATACCGTCCTTTGGCCAAATTATTCTGGCTTGACCCAATTGTTAGATGCGTTTACTCATTTTATCAAATACAGGGTGTTCCATACGTTTCAGGAATGATGCTGTATTTTAGTTGTTTTCTTTTCAATCTAGCTGAATTTTTGTCAAAATGTGCACATGTTAGTTGTGAATGAATTGAGAAAGTTTTATCATGAAGGTCAGTAGACCTAATAATATGGTTGCTATAGTAACCCAGGGGTAGGGTAGGTGGAGCAGGTGTAACAACCGGCAAAATATATGTCATATTTGTAAAAATAGTCGTTCTTTGTATGAAGTGTAGGTAAGTATTAGGTTTTCATAGTTGCATCAAAGTCAGAAATTAAGCAAAGTGAATTCGGTAAGTGAATTCCTGGAAATTAAGAAGAATTGTCATTATTGATGATATATCACAATTGAAAAACCTGTCATGTCATGGGTACCAAAGGAGAATAATCACAGGTCATTTTGACTGAGTGGGCATCTTGAAAAGTGAAACTGTCATCAGTAAAAGATGAATTTCAACTAAGGTAACGCGCAACAATTGTGATTCCATCAATAATGACAATTTTTTTAATTTCAAAGAATCCACCTCGATTTTTGCTTTGATTTTTGACAATTTTGATGTAACTATGACAACCTAATACTTTCTAACACTTCATGCAAAAACGATGGTTTTTACAAATATTTCATGTTTTGCGCATTGCCACACCTACTCCACCTATCTTACCCCTGGGTTACCATAGCAACTATATCATTAAGTCTATTGAGCTTCATGATATGAACGTTTTCTAACTTATTCACAACATATTTGGACACATTTTGTGAAAAATTCAGCTCGATTGAATAGAAAACCACTAAAATACAACATCATTCCTGAAACATATGGAACACCCTGTACACTAGATACGTTGATTTTCAATATTTTATAAAATTAGGTCCAAACTTTCAAAAATGCACAATATTTTGGGGGCCAACGTTTTTTCCAGAAAATTATTTATTTGACATCCTCTCTGAATTTTCAGACCTGGTTGAATTAAGTGAATTCGGAACACTTGGATTGTCACATTATTTGGGCAAGAGTCAGAACACTTATATAACCCAGAACAGTTGGGCTTCCACATCCGCGCTCGGGGCGAAGATATTTGCTCTTGTTTGTTGTCGTACAAGATACTCTTAAATAAGAAAAACATCGTCGTATTACCCTAGACTAACATCCCGTGGGTACCGACGGGAATTCCCGGAATTTTCCGAATATGAGTCTGTTGTATAGTCAACAAAAAAGCATAAAGACAAACATGAGCAAAATCCGATTGCTATAAAGCATAGTATTTCAACCAAAACGAAATGAACCTCATACTTTTAAATGTAGGCAGAGGTAGTTGTTACCCATAATACTTTTCCCACTCGGTCTTCCTTAAATCCTGACCCACCCGTAGACTCCTTAGCCATTTAATATCTTTCTATAATTAGAAAGGAAGCCTCGATATCAATGCAAAGGATGTTTCGGTCTCCAAATGTCATCTTTTGACAGATAAATAATCTAGACCCAGAGGACAGACAAAATCTACGAACGTCAATACCTACTTAAAACCCGGGACTTCGAACTGTAGATGTCCAGCCCACGTCAAGGTAAATTGAAGATACTTATCCATACTCAATTAGGTAATTTGATCCACAGAAACCTAATCGAATCAATGCATTTTCTTAATCAGATTCGTGTCCTTACATTATCTGCCCTTTTATCTTGGTCAAGTATTATGTTTAGTATTCTCAGTTCCAAATAAGTGTTTGTTTTAATATTGCGTTTCTTGGCTTCCGGATATTAACTTCTATGTCAGTCTGTATTTTGACTGAGGCTCTTCGTGTTAATTGTCTGTTGGGGGATTTAAAAAGATCTGGTATTCAAACAGTTTTTTTCATTAATTTTTCCTTCTAAAGTTACTAAAATACATGAAAAAGATGTTAGGGACTTTTTTAAATCATAGGCAAAGAGCCAGTAAAGAAGAAGTACCTTACGTTGAAATCACAATGTACAATTAATGCAATCTCTGTTCTAGAAAAATAAATCGTTACGCTATTAATAAAAGGCTTGTACAAGGTGTCCCAGAAAAATTATACCCAAATGATACATGAAAAGTTGAAGTTTCACATGATAAAGAAAATTCATATATTCAATAAGCATTAAAAATTCACCTGCTTGATGTTAATATCCCTCTAGAAGAATGATACATACCTCCTGCACACGCGTGTATTGCCCACCTCCCAGAACATTTCCCTGCAAAATAAACAAAATTAAAAGTTTTCATATAAATATGTAAAATAGCAATACATATATACGGCCTGTTAATTAAAGCGTGTCTGTGTTTACGTTTTTTGTTTCTGGTGACTTTGTTAACTGAATATACAATAAATTGTGTGACTATTTTCTAGTTATTATGCAAAAATCTCATGACAACGTAATAGCTGTTTTCAATCATTATATGCTGTATGCATCTCATAATTGTAATCGAAAAAGGTGGGCCAAACATTACCACATGACTAAAATTATTATATATACGTATCTAATTTCATTTACTAGTACATTAGATTTAACTTGCATTCGCGAGCATTCGCTTCATTTTTCTTATGGAATCAATTTTGCGTCCACCCTGTATGCACTGTTTTTGCCAAAATGTCTATGTTAATGGTAAAACGTAAATAAAATCAAACAAAAATATAGTTTTCTTTATAATATATGATACCATGTGGGTCCGCTTTGACGGAGCAGTTGCAAATTGAAGTGTGAAACTACTTCGTCACAGCGGACAAAAAAATTAAACATTATTTTTTATAAAAGGATTAAAAAGACCCAATACACCCAGATCTCATTCCATATGTAAATATGGTCGTGCCATTAAAAAGTTAAAAAAGAAATGGTACATTTTAGAGTATGATACTCCGGCGCCATTTTCAATAGCTTTTACTCCTAGCTTTATTGAACTTCAAACATAAGTGAAGGTTACCCGCAAATGATATATACATTGCATGGAGTAATATATAATTTTCTTTGACATAACGAAACATATGAGTTAAAAATAAATTGTGAAGTATTCTTAGTGTTTTTATGAAAAATAGCACTTTCCGTCACAGCGGACAACTCTCTGGATACCAGCCTGTGTATATGTCTGTTGTCGTTCTTGTATTGGCTAATCCAAAAACATTATTTTCATTTGGGTGTCAACTCAGTTGTTATTGTCACATCGGTGTCACTTGCAGGTGTGACTACATGTTCAAATTAGAGAGCCCAGAGTTTCACATTTGCAACGCATTTGACCCATTTTGTTTACAACGGACAGGCGCTGGCTGAAATTGCCATGGTTTCACGCAAGATGTGTCTACTCTGGAATGGATTATTGCTCCATTGACTTGACATCTCCGGCACACTCTATCAACGAGGGTTTTTCAGATTATCTTTTGGGAAATATTTCACTGATATTTTAAAATAGAACGCATTAACGATAATTAGATTGAGATAATTCAGTTGAATCAGGTTGTCATGACTATGACTTTTTGCCTGTGGCCCACAAGGGATGATTTCACTGATATAGACTTTTGATGAATTGATAAGGTTTGACGCTGTCAAACATTGTATCATGTTTGGATTAAATTGATTGATCTAAATATAGTTATATAAATGAGAGGGCGAAATATGACCGATGTAGTCCTTCTTTGTATAACATTATAAATATTATATCATATAGATTAGATTGATTGATCTAATTATACTAATATAAATGAGACTCAGCGAAACATGATCGGTAATTCTTTGTATAACACTCATTTACAGGTTACAGGTGCAATCTTGTGCTTTTACGCCTCTAGTCCTAATTTTATATTTAATTATATTGAAATATCTTAAAAGTTATTGAAAACTTAGATGCAAACTGTCCAAATTCTTTATAATTGAAAAAGGGACACCCCTTTTTCATTTTTGCCAGATCACCTTAAAAATTGATGGATTATCCCGAAATGAAATCAAAACAGTTGGACTTTTCAGAAAAATCACTTCTCTGTCCATAGATATTCATGAATAAAACACATTTCAATTCAAATTCTTGATTGTTTTTCTTAAAGTGGTATACCCTCTCAAGTGACGGATTATCACATTGGGATTAACTCCCAGGTCTTCCTCCAACGCTTTAAACCCCACCCTGTTCCCGATAAATTCAAACGGTTCTCTAAAACTTCACATTAAACTCAAAAAATTGTTAGAAATCAATTAAAATGGCTGTTTTTACACAATGTTCCTACTTGTTTGGCATTACATTTCTGGGCTTTTATTGTATTTTAATCTTATATATGTTATAAATATATGATTTTTGCGCACGGGTATTACGATTGAGATGGGCGTCTTCGACAGGTAGAAGTGTGATAAATGGGTATAAGGTGACGGGGCATGATTTAATTAATTACTTATAAAACTGGACCGACTTTCTACATACATGACAATGATTTCAATTTATCCCATTTCCTCCATTTCCCATCCCCATCTCTTCATATATCACAATAAACTTCTCAACAACTCCTTGCGGAATCATTAGTTAATTTATTGTTATTAGTCTAAAAAACAAATCGTGTCTCAGATTCATCTGGGATTATCAATACTGTTTTTTTCAATTGATGAGAACAACATTGGAGAATGGTCCAGGGATTAAGACGTAATTGTTGTTTTACCAGTGTCACCATGGTCACGTGTATGGTATTTACACGTGGGTTTTCAAAAGTATACGATCAACACCGCGTCTCAACGTTTCAAACCTTGCCTTTTCCGAGGTCTTTTCAAAGTACGCAAAAGTGCGATGACAGATTCCACGTCAGATTCTTCATTTTTAATGATGAATATATGACGATAATGATGACTCAGGGAATATGTTATAAAGTCACTCAAAAAAGTATTTTATCTTCGGGGAAAATATGACGAAAATAAGATTTTTTAGAGAAAATCTCAGCCAAAATTATAGGGATTTGATTTTTGAAAAATTTTAATACACGTTGAAACACAATAGTATGAATAATATTACAGAAGTAATAAATACATCTCAATGACATTTCAGAGGTAAGTGTTCGAGCATTCTAATAATTTGCGGACTATAAATTGATATAAACAGTCGCTAATTGCTCATTGTGTGTGCGCTGGGTCTAGATGTCGTCTTGTGACGAATCTCTGACAGCTCTCTAATGATCGTATTGACTGCACATTTTATCATCATGATAAAGCATGTCATCTCATTTCTTCTCAGCCCTTTCAGGTGAAACAGAAAGATGCTATGAGTATCAGAATGCATTTTTATGGGATATAGTATACGTATAGACTTCAATTTAGAACACAAATACAATCATGGAATGACGCATTTCAGATTTCAATTCAATTTCGTGAATATACATGTGTCAGTTATGAAATATTGATTTGAATTCGAACATTAATTTACCAGGAATATATGTAAAAATGCAATTTGAAAGTTTCAGTGCTAATATAATAGGGACTTTAAGATTGCAATGTTTTTTACAACCTAAACGTGAAAGCAAACTATTTAAGAGATGCATTCGATGGGCGATTGGTATAATAATACGAATATGTTGGCGTTTCGATTTTATATGCAAGCTTAAACTCCCCATTATCAAAAATATGATATACAAATATAATGAGATGTGCATTTAAAAATTACTGATACGATGATCATGAGCATGACCCCTAAATGAAGAAAAGTGGATATTATGGACCTAGAATACATTTTTACGATACGATGATCATGAGCATGACCCCTAAATGAAGAAAAGTGGATATTATGGACCTAGAATACATTTTTAGACTCTAATGGCATTTGCTTTTCACTTTTAGAGATTAGATTCTCAGGTTACTAAAGATAAAAATGTTTCCTGTTTTGAGAATGTAATCTTTTAGATTGTTTTCAGCCTTCTACAGGATGTCAGGATGCAACGGCATCAAGCTTTACAGTGAAATATAATTTGCATAATCTGTAATATACATATGATACATGTTTATATTTTTAAAGAACTTTCTATTCTAGAGACACTTGGAAAATATTACAAATACATGTTTTAGTTCCACAGACATTCGAGGCACTAATCTGAACTCTAAATTTCCAAAAACGAGAGACACACAATGTTACATGGCTGCTGTTGTTTTTTTGGCACCCTGTACAGTACATATACGTTTTCAGGTTTAAGTTTCAGCTGAGACCATCATAAAAATGCGTTTATAAATTGACTTTAACTAGCCATTTCGTTCATTTGCGCTTTGATGAATTTCCATATGATAGAGAATTGAACACAACAAATGGGCCATCATTGGAACATTAATCAACTGATCTTAAGGCAATAATGGGAACTATAATCACATGGGCACATAGTCATTTTACCTGTACGGCATATAAAGGCACATCACGTGTGATAAACATCACGTGTGATAAACATCACGTGTGATAATCTAGTTTCAAGTACAAGACAAAAATAATGGCCATGGTGGTAATTAAATCCATTTGCCCATTTCGAGTTAATCCATTTAATCTAATGACCATAAAAGGTTTTTTATCAAGTACATCGAATTAGTGTATTCGTTTCATAAAAGGAGAATAGATAGGATAGGGGCATTTTACACATTTTCCTGGTCAATTAGTGGAAGTAACAAAGGTTCGATCTCCATTAAATCAGACTTAAGCTTGTATTCGCGATTGCAACTAGCGCCTGTCGGCTACCGGATTGCCCTACTATTTAATAGGTAACTGATATAAATATGAATAGTGCCTACCACGATTCCATTCATATTTAAATGAGTTGGTCATAAAATAATAAGTTAATCCGGAAGCCGACAGTCGTTAGTTGCATTTGCGAATACATAGTGAGATTCAAACCAAGCTATATTACAACTTAAAATATCTAAACAATGCCCTGTGGCCCGCTGTATCCGATGGCCATGCCCTACGCATTACGAACCGATAACTTAACTTGGTATTGCAAAATTATCAATGACGTAAATGATCAACTTAATTGATGAAAGCGATTGTGATTCGTATCAGAGACATATAAAACAGTGTCTCTGTTCGAATACATATGACAAGACGAACAAAAGCACGATTTTACAAGTTTATCAGGTGGCCATGGTGGAATTAGATGTAACATGATGTAATAGTTATGGTACATAGGGACTGTTACGGACATAACTAAGAGACCATAAATGTGGTTGCCATTAAATGATTGAATGAGATGTTATCCAGT